AATGCCAAGACTTCAGCACCCAACAGTTTATTCATAACTCTGCAGTGCTTCCAATTTAGATGCATGGTTGGAACACTTCCTCTGAGTGCCCAAAACTCATCCAAATTGTTTACTCTTTTCTCAGCAAATTGATTTTTTTCCTGACAACTACTTTTTTGGGCATTTTCTGCTGCAGCTTAATTCAAATATTTTATGTTGAACTTTGAATTGTAATGAGTGATGATGATTATTGATTCCATCACACCTTGAGGGTTGCTAAAATTGTCTTTCACACTCAAGAAATATCTTCAGGAAATTCACTTGGAAAATAATGCTGCTTCTCTGTACTTTTTAAAAATAATGAGTGATGATGATTATTAATTCCATCACACCTTGAGGGTTGCTAAAAATTGTCTTTCACACTCAAGAAATATCTTCAGGAAATTCACTTGGAAAATAATGCTGCTTCTCTGTACTTTTTAAAAATAGAGTTTGTCCTGAATTGATTGCTACAATGAATGACAAGTGAATTCACTAGGTGTTTCTATGATGAACAGTTTAACTCTGACATACATGAGTATTAATAAGGCTGGTCAATGTGGAGGCAAGGCACAGTGCTTCATTTTTTTTCAATGTAATATTTGATGATGCTGAACATGCTGAATTTCAATGCATTTAATTTCTATGTAGAAGGTGTGGCAGGCAAATAATTTAGTATGAATCAATTTCTCAATGAACCAAAGGTGCAAAATGAAAGTGATCTGGCCCAAGAATAACCTGCTGGGAACTAATTTGTTTTTGTACTTCATGGAACTAGTATTTTTAATTTACAGAAAATAAAGCATTCACTGGTTCAAAACTTTCACAGTCCATATTTAACATACATTGTTTGCCTGATGCATCATCTTCATCAATAAAGGGGAATGACAAGAGAGATTTGATGGAGTAAATTATGTTTTAATGTATTAAGAAAGCTTCAAGGAAATGTTAAAAAAATAGGGTCAATTACATGATTTAAACACACATTTTAAGTTAGTGGTGGGGGTACCTGACTGTTCCAGAGGATGAATAGGGGTACGTGCTTTCAAAAAGGTTGAAAAGCCCTGCTATAGAAGAAAAGACAATAGATGAAAAAACGACAGCGTTCATTCCCCTGTTATCATCATCTGCAGTTCATCAGCTGCTGAAAACACGCCAAAAAACGAATGAACCAATAAACCCTTGGGCTCAATGTCAAGCCACTGCCAAATGAGTGTTTTCCTCAAGTTTTGGAAACCTTGTTACTTATTGGCAATTGATGAAGCTGGACTCAAACTACTCTAGCCATCTCTGCAACACAGTTTTTACATCCCCCCAATCAAAAACACAAGAAAACCCCGTCAAAAATTGTTTGAATTGGTCCGAAACTGCATTAGAAAATATTTATTCATGTTTCATCCAAGATTTAATTTTGGGCTGAACATATGAAGTCTCATTTTCATCTGAGTTAAAGATTAATAAGAACTGCATGGTGATCTTTGAGACAGATTATCTTTAAAAGGTCTTCTGCTGATTGCCAAAGTGGGATAGAGGAACTGAATGGATCTTCAGTCTGTCTTGAATTCAGGTGAAAATTACCAAAAAAAAGTTATGAATTAGGATTGAATTGTGAATTCAAACGGAATCTTCAAGACATTGTTTGGCAAAATAATTCAAGTTGGTCAGAGAATTCACAGAAAGAGGGCTTTGGTTTGCAGTCCTAGTTGAAAGGGGATCTTCTCTCAAAATAACATCTTGAAAACACAATCAGAATCGTTTCTCGGGGTTGATCATGGAATATCTATAGGCTATAGTGCATGGATGTATCTCTTTTTTTTTCTTTATATTCACTCCAGTATAAGATGGAGACTGATTTCGATTCCTTTGAGGCAACATCATCATCAATATACCAAAGGCTTCCAAAGCTTTAGAAAAGCCTCCTTGGATAACACCATGACGCACATCATGAAAAAAAAAAAAAAAAAACTTCTGGCCGCGCCGAAAAAAAAAAAAAAAAAAAAAAAAAAAAAAAAAAAAAAAAAAACTTCTGGCAGCGCAGAAAAAAAAGAGCAAAAAAATGCAGAACACCACAAAGAAAGCCCCCTCCTTATCTCTTCTTTTCTCTCCCCCTTCTTCTTCGTTTTTTTTTTGCAGGAAAAGGAGATACACAATGAAAGGCAGGGCGAATGACGCCCGCGCCATCTATACGGCGGACACGAAACTGGGTTTGGAGAGCAGGGCGGGAATCACATAACCTGACGCCTCACGAAGCTGGTCAACAACGAACAAACACGATTTTTTTTTTTTTTTGTTTCGCGAGTCCATTCCGTCACCATATCATCAAACTAACGATATATACTCAAGTCACTCGTTTTTTACCGCTTTTTTCTCTGCTATTTTTTTTTTTCATCTTCCTGTTTTCCCCGACTCTTGGTTGGGGGTTTTTTTTCATAAAATTTTGGAGAAAGAAAATCCTGCGGTTTCCGGTGTGGACGACGACCGAAAACGAAAGCATCGATATTTTCAAGGCAGCCGCAATCAAAATAAAGCATTTTGAAAAAGAAAAAAAAACAATAAACGTACTTCATGGGGGTACCCGAAAATGTTTCCGTCTCCGAAGCATTATCAAATGAATAAAAAGAATATGAAAGAAATTGAGGTTCCTCTTAGTTCATGTGATATTTCTATAATAATTATGCTCGACAAAAGAAGTGAGAAATTTATCAACGGCAATAATGTTTTCCACACCATACTCTTCTTGTGTGGACCCATTTTGGCGACATCTATATGAGACAAAAGTAAATACTAATAAACTTTGGCGTTTTTAAAAAGTATTTTCGGTTTGTGTAGATGTCAGGCTAATTCTATCAAGTTGATGGGGTATCAAGAATCAAGATGCCAAAAATTATTTCACTCTCCGCATGTAATGATCAAATTAACTGTGCTTCAATTCACTATATGGTACAGTATTAGTAAAGTTTCATGAATAAAAGTTTAAGGCTTTTTCTCAGAGGGGTTTATGAGGCATATACAAGAGCGACATCTACAAAAGTGAATAAGGAATTGGTTTTTTTTCTGAAATGGTGCTCTTCAGTAATTGGGTGCACTAAAATGTAGAGGCCTTTGGCTAGTTTGATAATATTATCAATACACTTTGGTGATGACATCTATGTGTGGGAAAACTAACTAATTTTACGTTGCACGTGTCATCAACCCTTCGGCATGATAAAGGGTTTTTTAGTGGCAGATCTTTGAAATTTTTTGCAGGCTAGTGCATTTTGGTTTGACAAAAATTGGAAAATAACATCACCTCAGTTGAGTGGCAAAAGCCCAGAAACATTTGAATATAAGACAATAAAAATTGGCAATGACCATCAGACCACCAAAAGTTATTTCATGTGTGAATTAAAATTGAAAAAATGCAGCATTATTGGTTCTTTCAGATTTTTTTGTTTCAAAAAAGAAAAGTATGCTGCTTTTACTTTTTGAATTTCTTAGAGTCTATGGTGAGCAAATTTTGCAAAATCTTTTCTGGTGAACATTATTGATTCATTCTTTTTTTGTCCTATTATATAAGCCTTTTTCTCTTTGTCATGCAGATGTCGCTGGTATAATTTTGTTGAGTGCCTTATTAAAAGGGAACCGCAACTCAGAGGTTTCAGGTTATCTCAGAAGTATACCTAAAATTCCAGACGTTGAGTTATTGAAAATTATGAAAAAAAAACTTTGACCAATTCACTGATGGGTCGCTTAAGTTTCCTGGATCATTTTTCAAAATAAAATTTTAAACATTTGCAATGCATTCAGTGCTGGAAGAATTTTCGTAACATTATACACCCCTTGGTTGATATACATAAACTCTTCAACCCATGTACAATTGGCGAAACGAAAAATTTGTTCCTAAAACAACAACAACAAAAACCGCCTGATGTGTGATGACATTGGCTTTTTTTTCTTTTGCAAACCATGTGCATATAACGTTTTTGCAAAACTCCCAAAAGAGTTCAGCCAAACATTTCTTTCTTTTTTTTTGTCTCTTCGAACACCATAATGAGATAGAAAATGTCGATTCACATTCTTTGTTTTTCTTCTTTTCTCTCTCGCTCTCTCTTTTGGGACCATGTTGGAAGCAAACTGTGTTGATTCATGAATCATCAGCGGGATTTCCTGTCCAATTAACCCACCCGCCTTGTCTATAAGTAATACCTGCAAGTTCGGAGGCAAAAATCCAAACAAGACTATACATACTGTATATACAGTATTTTTTTTCCCACCACAGTTTTGAGTAAGAAGAGAGTAAAGAACAGAACTTCAGGAGATATTGATGATCAGCCTCATCAGCACCCATCAGGATAAAAGGTGTTCCCTTTTTCATGGGTATGAATCGTAGAGTAAAGCTCCTACTTTTTTTTCTCCACGCTTCAGACTTTATACCAAGTATATAGGAACCCATCTCATTATTTTCTCCTAATAATTATGTATTTCCTCTTTTTTCTGTCAGCCAGGTTATCTATAGAATTCTCTATTCTTTCTGGAACAGCAGCTTAACACATCATTAACACATGGGCTTTTTCTTGAAGCCCGTGGTTATTATTCGAAAAGATTGTAGCAGTGAAATGTTGTACCTTTTTTTTTATCCGTCAGAGCTGTTGAATCTAAAAAAAATTGACTAGATTTTGAAGAAGCATATTCTGAAACTATAGGTTTTTTCCAAGAATTGGCAATTTTAAAATTTCCAAACTGTTGAATACTGGCAAGAAAAAGTCAAGAAGTTAATTTTGCGGCGCCCGTAAAAAAGGCTGAGGGGGAAAATGCAAATAACATAAAACGACGCATGAGAAAAGGTCCAATGGAGAGAATTAAAGTCGAAGAAAACGAAGTACAGGAATAAAAATATAATAGTGATGATTAATCTGTAGAAAAATTATTTTGAACGAGAATAAATCGCGATGAAAAAATGATTCTATTTAGAAAGAAAAATTAAAGTGACAGGACTGAATTTTTTTTTACAAATATTGTTAAATATATTTTGAAGAAGGGCATATAATTTATTCTGCCTTAATTATGATGCTCCATTTTATTTTCGGAACTTCTTTTCTCTGGAAAATTTTTCCATTTTTCCAATGGCAGCCATTTTTTCAATCCCGAAGTTTTTTTTTTCTGACAACCATTATATTTTAGGAATTCGAGAGTGAGATTCTATAGTAACTTTTTTTTCATCTCTCACTTGGAGGCGTTTTCTGGTGTCATAAAGCCACGGATTTCTGTTTTTGTCTGTAATTTTCGGAATGAAAAACTGGAATGGAATGGCGAATGAACTGGGAATTAAATGAATTTCGGAATCAGCAGCAAGAGGCCTTGCCACCGGCGCCACCGGCGCCACTGGCATCCGTTAGCACAGTGCCCTTGCTGCCTCCGGCGCCGAAACCGCCGCCACCGCCGCCAGCGTCAGTGTCGAGACTGTCGGACATCTTGTCGCAGATTATGTCGACGAGGCGTTCGAACACTGCCTTCACCTGCGAGGAATATAACATTTTGCGAGGGATAGAATTTGCTTGTGAAACATTCCAGTTCGATGCTGAAAAATTTTAAACCGTTTTTTTTTTCTTCCTTGAGGCTTCAAAAATTGGCGAAAAACACCAGCACTTTGCTATTTTTATATCTTCGCACTGAATCGATGAATTTCCACGTGGTCAAAGGTAAATCAATAGATAAGAAAACAATAATGAAATAGTAAGAAAGCAAGAGCAGTTAAATGAAATTTACTCTGGAGTACTTCTTTATTTAAAGTCAAAATTAAGTTTTTAAACTTTCAACGCGCAGTACTGCATAAGTATCCCCTTCATAAAAAGTGGATGCAAATAAATTAAGTTACTAACGAAATTTTGTTTTCATGCAGTTTTATTCAGCATTCAGTACTGTTTGCTTTGAATGTTTAAAAACTTGAATTCGGTTGTTTTTGAAAGTAAATGTTTCAGTCAGCTGAATTCATGTAGGGATCATACAAATTCTTAGATAAATGGCAGAAAACTTGAAAATATTTTAAAAATACAGCATGCAAAATTCTTTTTTTTTTAATTCTGCAGAGAAAACTTTCTTGGTGGTCCAAAAATGCACAAAATCAAACATTTCTTCACAATTCTTCAGCTCCATATTAGAAAGTATGCCTTTATTTCCTTGAAATGACCAGTACATTAAAAAATGGCCTTTATTTCAAAGAGCAGACAGAATGGTATGAGGGGATGTGTGCATTACTCAGAGGGAAGTGCAATATTTCTACCACATTTAATTTTTTTCATTTTATTCTTCAAGAGAAGCAACATTTCTGTATTCAAAGGCTGCTTTACAAAAGTTTAGTGCAAAATGTGTGCAAAACCAAGAATCTCAATACAACGCATTTTTCATTATAATGCATTTTTTAACGGGTCCCCAGGAGTTTGTCATAACAAGATTTTACTGTACTTTTTTCTTAAGTGAAGGGACAGACAAAGTTTTAACAAGAGTAAACTCTGTTTTTTTTATGCAGCTCTCTTGAGAATAATGGCCACCTATACTGCATTTCTTGTGCACTCTTTTCCACCTTTTTTTCAATTTATTTAGGCAAGGAACACTGTGAGCAATGCACCAATGAAGCCCATATTGCCTGAGGCCCCTCGGCAATATTTGTCCGAGTGGGGAAATTGGTGCACACTGGGGATTTGTTTCTAATTCTACACAGTGACCCTGCTGTGCACCTGAAGTGTACCAAAGTTCTTCTTGTGCACATGCATATCCCCAATGTGCAAAAATTGTGTGTTCGAACCAGGATTACTCAGGGTCACATTTGTAAACAAATAAGTTACACCAAGGTTACAGTTGGTTCATTTGTGTGATGCTCCTGTTATTTCACATTTGTGCACCAAGTGTAACCCTGGAATGGTAGCAAAATTTCCTCTATACAGAGGTGCATGCTCGTAACCCCAGAATTTCCCATATGCACCAGTTGTGACCCTGGTGTGCACCTACTGTGGGGTCACAGCAAAAATAGCTCCCCACTTGGGTGCATAAATATTATAATCTATAAACAGTACCTGAATATTTTCCTTGGCAGAGGTCTCAAAGAACTCCACGCCTAGCTGGGATGCCAGTTGCTGGCCCCGCTCTGTGCTCACGACCCTTTCATGCTCCATGTCACACTTGTTGCCCACCAGGATCACTTGGGCATAGTCCCATGAGTAGTTCTTGATCTGGGTGATCCTGCAAAAATGCAAACACATGCACTAATACAAAGAGTACCATCCATCAAAAACAAACAAGCAACACATAAAGGGTTCTTATCCCCAGAGAGACCCTCTTTGAAAGGAGGGGCAAAGTGGGAGCTGATATCAAACCCTGTCCTATCTCTTTGATTCCTGGAAATAAATATTCCTGTGGAGTTTTTCAAGTCGCTGCTGGAGAAAACTGGGCTCAAAACAATGAGCGCTGGCTTAATATACAGCAAGAAAAATTGAGTCCCTTCAAGAATCAAGCAGCATTCAATTGAAAACCATGGGAAATTGGAGCTCAGTTGTCCCTATATAGTGTGCATAGAAGAACCAGATAGAACCCTAGCTGTCCTATCAATGTAATTCCTTCAATAAGTATTCTGCTGGAGTCTTCAAGTACAGTAAGACACTGAGATGTGGACATAATTGGTGCTTGAAGAGTGTCCCTATGTTGGAATATCCTAATTTTCCCATAGACTTCAATTGGATTTGGAACTCATTTGATTGGTTATCCACATCAAGGAAAATAAGAAAAATCTCCAATCACATAACATGTGTTTCTCAACTTAAAGACACAGAATATAACTATTCATAATAAAGAAACCTAAACAGAATATGATCCTCAGACATGAAAAGGACTCAAAAATAGAAACAAAAAAACTTCTTAACTTAACTTCACTTTGTGCAATGAAGGAATACAAAAGAAAACATTTTATCCACCTCCAATGACAGATAGGCCTTTTATCATCTTTTATAAACCAAGCCTCATTATATACACAGGTTTAACTTTAAAATGTTTGACTGTAAATACCATGTGAGTGAGTTTTGATAAAAACTAAATGAAAGAAAAACCAAACTGCCTGAATTTACAAAAGATTTCAAATCAGTCGCCATTTTCATTCGAAATTTTCAAAAAATATCTGAAAAAAGCAGGTGAGCTTTTACCATTTAAAGTTTTTAAAATTTCCCTTCACTTCGTGCACACAAAAATGTTTGCAACATCACCAATTTCGTTCTTGTTATATCTGTGGGAAATTTTTCTTGATCTCCTCTCATTTGAATGAGCCATTCGAATGTAAGTTTTCTTCCAACACCGAGTTGCTGCGTGTTATTTCTGAATAAGGCACAGTATTTTTCTTTCTTTATTCATATGAAAATGTATCAGAGGCCAGGACGACATCTTAAAATATTCTTGCTATATTTTAAAAGTCACGTCATTGACATTCACAGGACGTGTCAAAATCCGTGCATTTTCTGATCCTTGATAGAAATCCATGCAGAAATTTCGATGGAGGTCCCGACCAACCGCGGAATTGCTTGACATTCACACGCAATCCAACATAAGCCTGTGAATGTCACTCAATCTACTCACATTCCCTCGCATTTAAATTCTTTAAATGATGAAGAAGGTCACGAACTTGGAGAAATTTGAAAAAAAAAAGATATAAAATTCGGTATTCAACCATCCTATACAGACAAAACTTTTGACTCACTATAATGCTGTTATGGACTGAAGCGTTCATTAATAATTGAAGACAAAAACTAAAAGTAAAACCCCTTTAATAACCACAAGAAAACCAGTATCAAGCCCTCAGAGGCTTTAATACCAAAAAACCAGTCCCAAAGGACTTGTGCAAAATGATGCTGCTCATTGTCTTTTACTCAATAAAAAAAAAACCCCCACCAGAGGCCAGAATCTGGGCCACAAGGAAATCAACTTCCTTTTCCTTGTCCTCAAAAATATGAGCAAAAGACAATGCCACTGTGAAACTTTGTGCAGACTCAAGTTGCAACATTGTGAAGCATGTTAGCAAATTGGTTCTATCTTTCTTTGTTTTGTACTTACATTTACCGCCACAAAAAAAACTCGACCAAAAAAAACTCTCTATAGCAAAATTCTCACAAAAGGTCATTTGCCATATGTTTTGCAAGACAAAAAGTGTGAAAATATAACCACTTTTCCACAAGGCTGAAGCATGTAAATGAAACACAATAAACCCTTCAAAATCTGTTTTCCCCCACTTTCTGCCAGCTTAACATACAGTAATGGGATGAATTTCCATTCAGCCCTTCAGACACCTGATGAGTCAAAACAGTCCTTGTCCTTCTTTTTTCGGGAATAATTCAGTGTATAATCGCACATTTTTTTTTTGCTTCGCCGCTGACAAGGATAAAGATTTAATTTCTTCTTGTACATGCTGGCTCACCAGTCCTGAACACTGCTGAAGGACTCTTCGTTGGTTATGTCATACATGAGGAGAAAGCCCATGGCACCACGATAATACGCAGTTGTTATGGTCCGATACCGTTCTTGTCCGGCCGTGTCCTGAAAGGGATAAATGAAGAGAAAATTATCCCCACAATCCAAACATAAACGCAATTGAAAAAAAAATACTGTTTACGCATATTCATACAAATAATTCTCAAATTGTAAAAGGGCTAAACTAACTTACAAATAATTTAGATTTTTTGGAAGTTTGATTACAGTGGCCCCCCGCCTAACAGACCTCCTGTGTAAGGGATTTTTGCCAAAACAGACCAGCTCTGCAAGCAGTTTTTCCTCCCGCCCAACAGACAAAATCTGCCAAACAGACTTCTTTTGATTTAAAACTATAGTGTTGAAAATTGAAATTTTTAATTTTTTATGTAATTGAATTCGTGTAAAGGACTTTTTGTCTAACAGACTCGTCCCTTGCACAAATCAAGTCCGTTAGACGGGGGTTGACTGTATTTCAAAGTTTGAATATTTGTTTTGAGATATGAAATGATTGATTTAGACGCAATCAGCCAGGCTGCAGCCGGCGTGCTTATAATAACACCCTAGTGTAAGGTTGATATATTTCAAAGTTTTGTAGGATTGCATTTCAAACAGCAGTTCAACAGGCGGAAGTGTTTTTTTTTCACTATTTTTTCTGAAAAATTGAAGCAGAAAAATAGTCCATACCTGGTATGCATGTAAATACGTACTTCAAAGTATATTATCATAAACTAAAAAAAAAGATCAATGAAAAAGGTCGCAGGTCACTCTGAAAGGACAAAAACTGGGATGTTTTCATCCAGAGCCAACTTCTCTGCTGCGATGATTTATTCAAGTTATTCACACAATATTCCAATACAAGTTGAGTTTGTAAAAAAAATGTTCTTCAAAATATGCATATATTCTTAGCAAACAAAACAGGTTTCCGGGCTAATTTACCCCACAAAAAATTGAGTTTTGTGTCTTAATTAAAGAGCACGTGGAACTTTAGTAAATGCTGTATCTCATCTTCATCTCTTTCACTTTCCGCAAAATTAATTAAAATTCCTGATTAAACATTTTACAACCTCTGTGTTTTACCCCCTTCCAAGTTCTCTGGTCCAAAAAGTCGCAGGACTTTTGAAAAGAAAAGGCCTCTTGTCACCCTGTATATTCTTCCATAGAAAACCTTCTTTCCTTCACATAATCCTGGGTCACATCTGCATGCAGGCGCATTCTTTCTCATGTCGAAAGAACCATCAGCAATAATGTGACCCCATGTGACCCAGAATACAAAGGGATGGTTCAAAAGTTTTGAAACTTTTTGAAAAACATCCGGCAGAGTTTCAGCAGTGCCAATATTTTTTTTCTTGCATTGAAAAATCAATCCTCTGCAGACCAATATTCACTGTTGAGAACAGCCAGAATAAGTCACAGGGTGCAATACATTTTTAATGACATTGTTGAATGATTTTTTTAAATCAAAGAAAATACAGTATATATATATATATATATTTTAAAAATCATTGCACTCAATTTCCGGCTGTTCCAAACGGTGAAGAATGATCTGAAAGGGATTGATTTTTAGGACAGCAACACTCCATTTCTGCCATCAAATATATGTTTAACCAATAAATAGGGGAATTTAATTTTTGGTACTCTTTTGGTCATAACATTTATTGCACAGAAAATGCATTGAAATCAGTGGGGAGTATGTTGAATACAGTTCTGAAGTGTTGCCAAATGATGGGACTATATGCAAGTATAAAAAAGTTTGGAATTATTGAAATTCTGTTGGATCTATACTTGAAAAAGTTTCAGAAGTTATGAACCATCCCTCATACACATCCATTGGATGGTGGAGATTTCCTGGCCATTCTGCTGCAAAGTGGGAATTTTTGAGGGAAGGGGCATTTCATTTTGACCAGAAGTCACTGAAATAGTTTGACCAGAGGTCACTGAAATAGTTTGACCAGAGGTCACTGAAATAGTTTGACCAGAGATCCCTGAAATAGTTTGGCCAGAGGTCACTGAAATGCACTGAAAAGGTCACTGAAATGGGCGCATTTCAGTGACCTCTGGTCAAACTATTTCAGTGACCTCTGGTCAAACTATTTCAAAGACCTCTGGTCAAACTGAAATGCCCCTTCCTTCAAAAAATCCCTACTTTGCTGCAGGATGGCCAGGAAACCTCCACCATCCAATAATGGATATGTATGAGGAATGGTTCTCAGTTTGACCAGAGGTCACTGAAATGCCCCCATTTCAGTGACCTTTTCAGTGAATTTCAGATCATTTCATTTTTATACCAAAGGTCACTGGAATGCCCCTAGGTTGCAAAGGCCTTTGGGAAAAATCCGGGTACAGAAAATCCCATTCTCTCAAGAAATCCCAAATGTTAATTCTATTCTTGGAATGCATGGAAAAAAACGCTACCCAGGCAGCACCTTTTTTTAGAAAATATTTTCTTCAGGATTATAAAAAAAATCAGACTTTTTCCTGACTTGGACCTTATAGTTCAAAAATCATGTATAATTTTTTTTTCAGCCCTCACGGGGACACAATTTTGCCAAAATATCCAAACTTTCCCACACAAACAGTAAGGGATATATAGAACACCTGTTCAAACCCATCTGGTGCGTCAAAGGATGAGTCTCGAGTCTTGAAAGAGAATACAACAAGGAACATGGGAATACCTACAACAACAACAACAACAAATAAAAAAGCATATATATATATATATGTAAATATATATATATAGAAAAAGCCCCCTCACCCAGATTTGTAACTTGACTCTCTTCTCATTGCGGAACACGGTCTTGACTTTGAAGTCGATGCCTACTGTTGACACGAAGGCCGGAGTGAAGGAGTCGTCCGCGTAGCGAAACAGGAACGACGTCTTGCCCACGCTGCTGTTGCCGATGATGAGCAGCTTGAACATGTAGTCGAAGTTCTGGTCCGTCTGGTCCTTGTTCTGTTGCCATCGCTGGTCCTGCATCCTGACGAGACAGACAGACAGACAGACAGACTAACAGGCTGACTGACTGACAGACAGGGACGCTCGAGGAAGAGGAGGAGACACACGCCGGTTGGAAACTCTGCCAGAAGAAATAATGGGGCAACACCAAAGTTTTTATTACAGTAAAATCTAGGAGACACACGCCGGTTGGAAACTCTTCTAGAAGAAATAATGGGGCAAAGCGAAAGTTTTTATTACAGTAAAATCTCGTTACAAGGATTCGTTACAACAAACTCCCAGGGACCTGAAAAAAATTGATATAAAAAAAAATTTTATATTGAGATTAATGATTTTTAGCTCATTTCAGACAGGAATTCTATTGGAAATGGGGAATACATACTTTAAAATGCCTCTAAAACCAATGGATCAAGTACTTTTGATGAAATGACGTAAAATCCTTTGATATAAATGTAACTCTCCTTTAACTGAACTGAAATTTGTACTTAAGTATTGCTTGTCTTCAAAAATAAACTGAAAAAAAATAAATATGGTAAAAATACTGCACTTTGTTCTCAATCAATTTATTCACATGTAGCTCTTTCAAACATGAAGGAACATTCTTCTTTCATCTTGCTTATTTGAAAAAGGCATACATTCTAAAATGGATGAGCTGAAGAATTTCCAAAAATATGTCCTGTTGTGCATTTTTTGGACACCAAGTTTTCTATGCACACAGATTTCTTTTTTGTGAATTTTTAATGCTCTATCTTAAAATGTTTTCTAAATTTTCTGCCATTTATTGAGTAATTCCTATATGGGTAATGCAGATAATCATGCCCAAAAATTTGTTATAATGAGATTACAGCCTAAAATTACTTTGTTACAATGAAATTTTTATAACATTATGCCTAAGGGAAACTGCCAGGACTGCAAAAAATTGTTTTATACTGTAATGCAAAATTCGTTATAAGAAGATTTGTTGTAACGGAATTCTAATGTATTAAATTTTTGGCAGCTCTTTTCTACACTGCACATATGCAAGGGTTGTCCCAGTTGGACGCGACCTCTGATAATTTTAGAGCAGGTGTGATTGAAACAAAAGAAAAAGATCATGACATAGCCCAAGATGTTCTATTAGGTTCTTGGATTTTTAACCCTTGAGCAGCTATTTCAGACTTTTTTTACATTTGTGTGACTGTGAGGACAGAATTTTAAAGAAGCTGGACTGAGTATGTAGGGCAAAGTCTGGAAAAATCCGGGCATTGTTTTCTTAACCCTTTATTGGTGGCAAAGTTGGACTTTTTCTGCAAATTTTTGTGTCTGTGAGGACAGAGTTTAAAAAAAGAGTAACAATTGACCCTGGGCAAAGTCCGGCAAAATCCTGATGCATTTTTTAACGTCCACAGAAAAGTTTTGCACAAAAATAAAAGAAATGCATCACCACGGCTGAGCCTTTTTTTTTTAGCCTCTCTCTCTGGATTAGTTGCATTCTTCTCTGATTTGCAAACCTTTCATTTTGGGCGCCAGATGGACGATTCTTATTTAGAGGCAGAAAAGATTAACAGAAAAAGTCCAAACTTAGGAAATATTAGCAGCACCTTTTTGTTGGAAAAAGTCCAACTTTGCCCTAGGCAACCTGGCTTGGCTTTTGTGGCCTTCAAGAAAAGTGAAACACGGGACCAGCCAAGAAAATCAAAGTTTTGCTGCACAATGGAAATGAACCCTTTGCTGTCCAAGGGTTAATTCAGCACAGAAAAAGTAAGAGTCAGAAAAACATAAATAAAACCACTCAAGACAAGGTTTTTTTAATCTCCTGACTTGGGTATTTGCCCAAGCATTTTTAGGATGTAATTTCCTTTGGGAAAAACAAAATGCATTAGCATACAGAAAAATCCCGATAACTTAGCCCTAGGATGAGGAAAAAGAACCTTTTGCCACAGAAGGGATAAAACGTTTTCAATGTATGGCAAGTTATATGATTACAGTGAGTGAAAACTTTCCAGTTAAAGCCAGGGTTCTCCACCTTTGTAAAAAGTACCAAAATTGTGTCAGGTTATGGCTTTAGAAATTGAAAAAATGTGTTCAACCATTATATTATAAGTACAAAAGATAATGGGCAAACTTTTTTTTTAGCTGGCCTGACACATTTTTAGAACTTTGTGCAGTTTTAGTCACTAAAAAAGGGGTGGCATATCTTACTTGGTGATAAAAAAAAATTATTTTATACTGAAACCCCAAGTTGAACTAAGAGTGCCACAGGGAACGTGGTACTTGAGTAAATATGGTAATATTTGAAATGGAAAAGAGGTCAGACAATTAATATTGAAGACAATTTCCAATAGCGTTGGCGTACATGCGCCATCATTTTTTTCAAAAATTAACTGATTAAATTGAAATTATGCAGTCATTTTAGAAAGAAAAGAGTTGAACATTTTTTCTTCATTTTCCTATACATTTTGATTAGGTTGAATGTTTTTTTGGAGAGTATCTACGGTATTAAAAAGACTTTTTGGTAGCTTCATGATGAATTTCAAATGATGGAAATTACGAAATTGAATAAAATTTCCGGTCAAAATTGCATTTAAAAATTGAGACTGACGGTAGTTGGAAAAGATAATTGGCATTATTCCAATCGACATATTTTGAAGGGAGAACAGATTCCATACTTTAAAAAATATTCAATTGTATGAAAATGCGTTTGGAAAAATAATTTAATTTAATCATAATTATATTCCTCGGGGCCTAATAATTTTTTACAACTATTTTACTCTACTGCATTTCATTTTCTAAATTGCGGAACAAATAACAGAATATTTTGCACCTCTACTGCCAGAAAAGGTTTCTTTGTGATCCTTCTAAAATTTCTTCAATATTGTACATTTGGTATTACAGGTTGATGAAATGTAGGAAAAAAAGCTATCTATTGTTCCTGAAGACAAACACATTCTTGTACGTATTTATAATCTATATACAGTACCATACAATAATATGAAACCCACGAGCTGATATTTCAGTACTGTACCGTGTATTACCTTTTTTTCTATCTCGTACACCTGTGACTTTCCTTGCTTTCTTTGGTCAACTTCGGTACATCAACGAGGGAGGGAAAGGTGAAAGACCGCGACGACGATATGGCACACCTGTTGATCCGCATAAAACAAAATCAATCAATAATTTATATGCACTATAGTTTTGCACCAAAAAAAAAGAAGAAGCACTTGTGCAAAGTAGGGCTTTTCAGTACTTTACACGCATACCACTGATGATGGTGGTTCATAGACACATGGCAGGGGGGACCTAAAAATTTTCCAAGAATCAGGGATAATCTTGCTTGACGAGTGTACAAAGGCATTGGAGCTGACTCCTTTAGCTCAATATATTAAGAATTTTTCATGACATACAGTGACATGAAATGTTTTAAATATAAAATGAACAATGTAAGCATAATAATATGCAAGAAAAATGTTTGGCCTTGTATGATTTCTCATCAAAGATTCTCTCTAAATTGTTCATTGAACTAAAACTCATANTTCTCTCTAAATTTTTCATTCAACTAAAACTCATACAGAAACAGGCTGAAGACCTTGTGCTTTAAATAAACTTTTACTGCTGCTTTGTCTTCAATATTGGGGATGGGTGGGTGTAAGCAAAATACGCGTAGGATGTCCAGTTTTTATTTTGTGGATTGTGTTCTCTTTTGTTTTTGTCAATGGTTTGTGCTTTGTTTCATGCTTTGAATTGATTGAATGTATTTTGGGGGAGTTGGGTTGGGGGGGGAGGGGGTTTGGATGCGGGAGTTTTGGTTGTACCTTGTGAACACTGAAAAGCGGCAAATAAAGTTTTCTGTTCATTCATTTATCATTCATGGAAGGAAAAAAAAACTTCTGAGAGAATATGTATCCTCTTTTTTCAAGAAGAAAAAGAAGACGGAAGAAAAGAAATAAATGCAGGGAATTCTGACTATGGTAAATCTTCCTGCAATGCATTTTTTTTTGTCACAAAAAATTCTTGATCGCAAAAATTATATTTTAAAATCTGAGCTATACAGTAGAGACACAACACTTTTTCTTTCAAGTCTATTTCAATATAATATACAGTATCTGTAATCATACCCAATATTTTTTCCAGGGCCCAATGGCTTTGTTTCAACAAGATTCTAGCAATAAAATGAATGGCTTATGACAAAAATAAGTATAGACAAATGGCCACGTAATAAAAGGAGAGACAGAAAGAGAAACAATTCAGAGAAACCTCCCTAAAATAATTTTTTGCTGGATCCCTTGAAATTTGCATTAGAAAGATTTGACTGTACTACTGTGAATATAGTACAGTATACTATAAAAACTCCAATAAATGCTGACTCTACAATAGATGATGGTCTCTTATTACATGCTGGGTCTCAAAGGGGTTCAAGGGGAAAAGTATCTAGCTTCTATAATAGTGGCCAGTTCAAACAGAGCAGTTTTTGAAAAAAATTTGGGAATTTCATTGATCCCTTCCACAATCTATAGCTTTAAAAATCCTTCCTTTAGCTTTTCCTTGCACATTCCCGTCTTAATTTGATAAATCAGTGGAAAGTCCTTTTCTCCCTATTTTCCCCATTTTGCTTTTCCACTTGTTCCACAGTTACAACTGTTGGAAATAATCTCCAGTCTCTAATACATGTCAGCTTATATTAAAGGCCAGGGGGAAAATTGAAAGTTTCAAATAAATGCTGGGGGTTGGTGTTTATGGGAGCATTTATGGTACAGTTGAACTTTTATAAGTTGAACCTCCCTATAAGTCAAATACTGTACCTCTCTATAAGTTGAATTTTTTCAAGTCCCCATCTGAATTCACTTGAAAAACAATGTGCAGTATTAAAAATCTTTCCAACTCAAAGTCTTTTTCTCTCAAACCTTTATAGGTCAAATTTTCTGCTGCTGTTTGGCTATTAAACATGAAACATAAAAGCAAGAAAACAAGTAAGTTGATGCGTTTTA